AATGACCTGACCTGACCTTCAGGTGACCTTGACACCCACCCTAATGCATGGGAGCAACATCAAATCACATGTTTGAACGTTTGAAACCACGAAAAGCTTGCAAACGCGCGGCTAATGCGAGCCGACATACGCGGAATCGCGATTCCGGCCAAACATGGTCTCGGAAAAGAGGTCACAGGTCAAAGGTCATTGGGGTCAGGGTCATGAAATTTTCAGGGTAGGTGTAAAATTGATCAATGCGAGGGTCTGAAAGTTTCGTCGCGATCGGCCGCTTTTTACGCGAGTTATTCGCGAAAAACCATGGGGGGGTCCATCCAACCCCCCCCCTACACATGCGAGGGTTAAGACATACCCCGGCATGTAGGAAACGTAGTGATAGATACACACGACTAGTGAGCAAGAGTCCAGACAAGCGGGAAGTCTTCTTTCGAAAAAAAAAACGTTCTAGTGTAGCCTTTCGGTTTAGTCTTTTATAACGAAGCCGATATCAAAATCACATGTTTGCTATATTAGGTAAAACATAACCCAAAACAGGCACAAGCCCGGCCGGCCCTTGCTCTGCCGACTCTCTCGTCTGGTCTGTTTGGTCAACTGTCGCTGCCCAAGCGGGGTGGCGGTTTACACGGAGTATAAAAGCGGAACAATACGCTCGTGACCTCTCTTTATGCCCCTGAGATCACCTTATGTCATGAAAGGTTCCCAGCAGTTTTTGACAACAACTTTTGATAGACGCATGTAGAATGAGGAAAATATCTTAGATGTCCTCCGCTCTGCGATATGGGTCGAATAATATGCACTATGACCTTTTCCGGTCAAATCATGATCTCGACCTTTGGTCGTATTTTCGTGTGTTAAGGTCTAACCTTTTTAACCCGCGCCCTGCTGGGGGGGGGGGTGTTTGAACACCCCCCCCCCTTGTGGTTTTTCGCGAATATCTCAAAAACGGCGGCGCGGAGCGCCGCCGTTTTTGGTACACCTTATCATACATCAATTCTACACATGTTGTGAAAATTTCAGACCAAGGTCATTCAAGGTCAGGTCACCAGGTCACTTGAAGTGACCTCACCTCATAAAAAGTTTCAATGTCTGTCATAGCTACACCGAGTGACCGATCGCTTTAAAACTTTAAGCGATTGCTAAGAGCAATAGTATGTACAAAATGTATATCTCAGAATTTTGATATCGATGACCTAAGGTCAGGTCAATTTTGCGACCTCCCCATTATAAGTCAATGGGAGAAAATTGAAATGCGCCTCTTTTGGACGAAAGACATTATAAACACTCCCAAACACCGAATTACAAGTGGTTTAGACACACTGAACATGAAAATGGTGTCCGTGACCCTTGCTTATGCCCTGAGGTCATCTTAGGTCACGAATGATATCTAACAGTTTTTCGCGAATAACTTTTGATAGAGGCGTGCTAGAGCGATGAAAACGCCTTAGATGTGTTCAGCTCGACGATACGGATCGACTGATATGCAACATGACCCTTTCCGGTCAGGTCATGACCTTGACCTGAGGTCAAATTTTCAAGTTGACCTTTCAAGGTCAAGTTATAGTTCATTCGATGCGTCTTGACGAGAGGAACACGATGCCGGTAAAAGTAAGCTCGTACAAGGCTTGGGTCAAAAGTTATTGCAGAAAAACTGTTTCCGAAAAAATCGGTTATTTTTGCAGTTTTTGCCCCCTGCAGGCAAAACCGTTGACGTTAGGTCAAATCTGAGAGAATTACTCAGAAAGGGCGTTAATAGGGCTATCGAATGCGCTTTTCCGCGGCGCTGTAGCTCTATTGGTTCCCGAGTTATGCGTTGGCTTCTTGGAAATTTTCGACATTCGACCTGGAAATCGGCGAAATTTTGCCTTCAATGACCTCTGGTGACCTGACCTTTGACCTGACCAAAAAATTGACCAAAGTGATTTCGTCATTATTTTTGACGCTCTTTCGAACGCCGCCTTCCGCGTATCGCTACGTGGCCCAGGAGCCGAGTTACAAGGGGGGGTGTTCAAACACCCCCCCCCCCCCCCCCAGCAGGGCGTGGAAATCCAGGACCCCCAGCCGGGCGCGGGTTAATAGGTATAGGCATAGGTATTAGATTTGGGTAGGTAATGTAATCTTTATCGGTCAAATTAAAGTTCACTCGGCGCGGTAGACGAGCGGAACACAATGCCGGTAGGAATGTTAGGCACTGTCGTGCGAGTTTTGCGTAGTGTCATGGCAGGAAAAAAGTTTCCGGCGAAAAAGTCAGCTTTGACTTTTTCAGCTTTTATCCTCTGTTTACCCTCTGAGGCTGAACCGTTGACCTTTGCTCATATCTCTGAGAACAATGTTCTGCAGAAAAGGCGCTGTAGCTCTATTCGTCCCCGATTTATGCACATATTTGTTGGAAACTTCGAAATAGGTAGACGCAATTTGTCATTGGATGATCTGTGACGACCTGACCTTTGACTTGACCTTAAAAAATGTTAAATGATTTTATAGTTTTTGACGCTCGTACGAATGTCGCCTACCGCGCGTCGCTACGTGATCCAGAGCCGAGTTACTAAGGGGGTGTTAACCCTCCCCTCGCACCTAGCAGGGCGTGGAAACCAATAAGCCCAGGCTAATTGGTAGGCCAGCGTGCTCGGATGACCAAAAGTAACGTGCAGCGTCTAAACGGAGGAGCGGCGTAAATTATACCGTATGAACGGCCCGCAAAGATAACGAAAGTCACTTGATCCGTTACCAAGTTAAATTGTATCGAGCCCATTCCTCACTTCCTAAAATCGTTCCGACGATCGAGAAGGGCATGAAACGGACCGCGCCACGTTACGTAAGACACATAAAAATAGCACACCAAAACAGAGAAAATTATGAAGATAAGTTTACACTGACCTACTCACCTGTCCTGGCGACTGACGCGGCACTGACGCCGGACGCACTCCCTCTCCGATCACCTGTTGGGCTACTGACCGCGGTCGTCGTCCGTACGGCTCGCGAGGCGACCTCCTTTCCGCCGCCCTAACGGGACGGAGCGGCGGCAGCGCGGCAGCGCGGCGCGACGGCCCGCTCTCTGCGGCTGCTGCCGCCGCAGGCTCACGGGCGGGCGCGCCGGGAGCGGCCCGTAGTGGGTGTCAGTTGTTCGCTGTAGCGCAGCGCACGATCATCATATCCTGCAGTAGCTTACAAAGACAACCTGCTTCTTTTATGCATCGAGTAGACTTCCGAGGGATTCTAGAGTATAAATATATCAGAGGTAGACCGCAGACATTTTGCATCGGTATACCGGTACATACGTAATTAACCCGCGCCCTGCTGGAGGGTGTTTGAACACCCCCCCCCTTGTGGTTTTTCGCGAATATCTCAAAAACGGCGGCGCGGAGCGCCACCGTTTTTGATACACCTTATCATACATCAATTCTACACATGTTGTGAAAATTTCAGACCAAGGTCGTTCAAGGTCAGGTCACCAGGTCAAGTGACCTCACCTCATAAAAAGTTTCAATGTCTGTCATAGCTACACCGAGTGACCGATCGCTTTGAAACTTTCAGCGATTGCTAAGAGCAATAACATGTACAAAATGTATATCTCAGAATTTTGATATCGATGACCTAAGGTCAGGTCAATTTTGCGACCTCCCCATTATAAGTCAATGGGAGAAAATTGAAATGCGCCTCTTTTGGACGAAAGACATTATAAACACTCCCAAACACTGAATTACAAGTGGTTTAGACACACTGTACATGAAAATGCTGTCCGTGACCCCTGTTTATGCCCTGAGGTCATCTTAGGTCACGAATGGTATCTAACAGTTTTTCGCAAATAACTTTTGATAGAGGCATGCTAGAGCGATGAAAACGCCTTAGATGTGTTCAGCTCGACGATACGGATCGAATTCGACTGATATGCAACATGACCCTTTCCGGTCAGGTCATGACCTTGACCCGAGGTCAAATTTTCAAGTTGACCTTTCAAGGTCAACTTATAGGTCATTCGATGCGTCTTGACAAGAGGAACACGATGCCGGTAAAAGTAAGCTCGTACAAGGCTTGGGTCAAAAGTTATTGCAGAAAAACTGTTTCCGAAAAAATAGGCTATTTTTGCAGTTTATGCCCCCGGCCCTGCAGGCAAAACCGTTGACGTTAGGTCAAATATGAGAGAATTACCCAGAAAGGGCGTTAATAGGGCTATCGAATGCGCTTTTCCGCGGCGCTGTAGCTCTATTGGTTCCCTAGTTATGCGTTGGCTTCTTGGAAATCGTCGACATTCGACCTGGAAATCGGCGAAATTTTGCCTTCAATGACCTATGGTGACCTGACCTTTGACCTGACCAAAAAATTGACAGAAGTGATTTCCTCACTATTTTTGACGCTCTTTCGAACACCGCCTTCCGCGTATCGCTACGTGGCCCAGGAGCCGAGGTAGAAGGGGGGTGTTCAAACACCCCCCCCCCCAGCAGGGCGTGGCAATCCAGGACCCCCAGCCGGGCGCGGGTTAACTAGAATGGACTGCTTCGCAGCCTCACCATAAACGTTCAGCTCACATAAAAATATTGCCTCACGTAATACGAGTCGAGTATATAAAACTTATTTCTATTTGTACACATGTACAAACTTATGCGTACATATTTACATTGAATATATTGAAAATAGGTAATTTGAATTCGCTAAATTCGATGGCCGATAGCCACCATCCAAATGGTCCCCTACAGCGAAGCAAAAAAAGAAAAATCGGTCCAGCCGACCAAAACAATTGGTAAAGCCGCACTGAGATGCAGAGGTGGGCCGTGGCGAATTTCGGTCAAACCATACTCCTATCAAACAACGCCCTCTGCAGCGGCACAACGCTGCGCAAATACCTATTACGGCTTCGCTAACTGCGTTGGGTTGCAAGATATTAGCGAGTAGCACACATACACTGCATATCCACATGAGCCGCGCCGAAAAGGTGTTCGTCGATTGAATGGTTTTCCCTCTCCCAACACCTTTGGCGCTCACCCTCAAGCTGGAAATATACAAAATTATAAGCCACGTACATATAGATATATTGTGCGTAACTTGACCCATTATATTTAACAAAGTATGAAACCTACGTGCAAACGTATACCAGCCTATACATACCATTATATTATAGGACAGAGCATGACATGTTCACGAAGCGTCGCTTCATAGCATCTTACAAGCATTTTCATATTCGGCCTCCCTTTTCATTGAAAACACAAAGGCTTCAGATGACAGGAGCCCGATCTAGTTAGTACGGAGCTTGGCCGGGTAGGCTATGCCACTAATATATGTTTTTTATGAGAGCTCAGTGAATAACAGCTTGCTCCGTAGCAAAGACCAAACCCCACTACACCGGACTATGAACATTCGGAGACTGAGAAAGACTATGTGGAGGTCCTTTCGCCAGGACAGTTTGACTGTTACATCACATAGACTCGCATTGCAACGGTATACCCTCAGTAGCCTTTGTGCAGGGACGAGGACTCCCATTAAAGTTTACAAATCAACGAAAAACGAATACAACAAATCGTCCCTTACACCCTTTAAAAATAGTGCGCCAATGTGCGGGGTCTGTGTTAGGTAGCAGCTGTTGGGCCGTGCAGCTCTCTCGCGGCGCATGGTCCGTGTCAGGGCGAGTGTGACGGTCCGGTGCCGCCCGCTGCAGGGCCGGGCCGGGCCGTCAAATCGCGCCCCATCCACCCAATCAAGCGGTGGTCTGGCGCCGGAAGTGTCGGGTCGCCTTCACACCAGAGTCCTTGTGCTCCAGCGTCTGAGAACAGCAACGGTAAGCTTACAGAAACAGCGGTACACTGATCTACGCACAAAAAGGCAGGCGGGACAACTGAAGGGTACTTCACTCGTCTTTTATTTTGCTGCTAACTTTGACATTTACCGTGGCATATTTAGTTAGCGATAATATACTTCAATGTATTTGATCAGATTAAGTCCTTAATTTTAACAAAATGATATAATATTTTGCTAGAGAAAAAGAACATAATTTTTGCCTTCTTTCCAAATAAAACAAATAACGACATAGAACACGAATGGGATATAACACATTTCTTAACACGGAATAAACATTCAAACCTCCGAAACAAGATCTGCAAAGTGTTTTAAGAACTTAATAATCAATACGATCAATAGCACAACAGCACCATATGAATTCCAGCATCACCAAGATGCTCTGGTACATCGGAGCATTGCGGACTCGGCTGTGGGCGGCCGTGGGCGGCCGGACGAGCCGGCACGTTCAGTCGTCGCCCTCACCATGTCCATGCCGGCCTCGGTGAAGGCCCGCGTGATGACAATCTTGCCCTTGACGCTATCTTGCTCCTGAATCAGCGAGTCGCCCTCTCTGCGGATCACGTTCTGCGGTACGGCGTGCAAACCAGTCGCCGCAGGTCAGACAGTGCAACTAGCGGCATACTTTGTACGACACTGACACATAACGAATTCACAGAGGTATTGTATGCATATTTGTTTGGAAATTTGCTGTGAAAAGGTGTAGTTTTAAAGGGACCCTCCAACCTTCAAAAAAGTTAATGAATTGGCATGAAAGTGATGTTCCTCGGTTCAGAAAGAGCGAAAACGAATATCTGACAAATTTAATCGAAAAATATTCGCCGGTTTTCAAGATATTAGACTTTTACTTTTGTTTACTTTTTGGGATCTCCGCTGTTCCTAGCGACTATATTTGAAAGTGCGGCATTTGTTGCGCGCAAAGCAGCATATACCACCGCGTGCAACCAAACGTTTTAGTAAAAGATTTAAAAATCATAGATCTCCGCTGACGTCACAAATTCTCAGGGGCATTCCAATGCATTAGCCCCTTAGAATCCGAAAACTGCAAGTTTGAATTCCATATCTCCGTGTTGAAGCATTTTTTGATGTTGTGACTTGTGAGTGCCCAAACCGGTATTTTCAGGCCATGGCCACCAATTTGGCCATCTCAACTAAACTAATGTTAACCCGCGCCCGGCTGGGGGTCCTGGATTTCCACGCCCTGCTGGGGGGGGGGGGTGTTTGAACACCGCCCCTTGTAACTCGGCTCCTGGGCCACGTAGCGATACGCGGAAGGCGGCGTTCGAAAGAGCGTAAAAAATAATGACGAAATCACTTCGGTCAACTTTTTGGTCAGGTCAAAGGTCAGGTCACCAGAGGTCATTGAAGGCAAAATTTCCCCGATTTCCAGGTCGAATGTCGACAATTTCCAAGAAGCCAACGCATAACTCGGGAACCAATAGAGCTACAGCGCCGCGGAAAAGCGCATTCGATAGCCCTATTAACGCCCTTTCTGAGTAATTCTTTCGGATTTGACCTAACGTCAACGGTTTTGCCTGCAGGGGGCAAAAACTGCAAAAATAGCCGATTTTCGGAAACAGTTTTTCTGCAATAACTTTTGACTCAAGCCTTGTACGAGCTTACTTTTACCGGCATCGTGTTCCTCTCGTCAAGACGCATCGAATGAACTATAACTTGACCTTGAAAGGTCAACTTGAAAATTTGACCTCAGGTCAAGGTCATGACCTGACCGGAAAGGGTCATGTTGCATATCAGTCGATCCGTATCGTCGAGCTGAACACATCTAAGGCGTTTTCATCGCTCTAGCATGCCTCTATCAAAAGTTATTTGCGAAAAACTGTTAGATACCATTCGTGACCTAAGATGACCTCAGGGCATAAACAAGGGTCACGGACACCATTTTCATGTTCAGTGTGTCTAAACCACTTGTAATTCGGTGCTTGGGAGTGTTTATAATGTCTTTCGTCCAAAAGAGGCGCATTTCAATTTTCTCCCATTGACTTATAATGGGGAGGTCGCAAAATTGACCTGACCTTAGGTCATCGATATCAAAATTCTGAGATAAACATTTTGTACATGCTATTGCTCTTAGCAATCGCTGAAAGTTTCAAAGCGATCAGTCACTCGGTGTAGCTATGACAGACATTGAAACTTTTTATGAGGTGAGGTCACTTCAAGTGACCTGGTGACCTGACCTTGAATGGCCTTGGTCTGAAATTTTCACAACATGTGTAGAATTGATGTATGATAAGGTGTACCAAAAACGGCGGCGCTCCGCGCCGCCGTTTTTGAGATATTCGCGAAAACCACAAGGGGGGGTGTTCAAACACCCCCCCCCCCAGCAGGGCGCGGGTTAAGGTGGGATGGTCACTTTAAACATGAAATATGACAGTCGTAGTTTTAAACATGAAGCTGTCAACAATGGTCGCTAACTGGATTTTTGGTTTCACCTCAAAAGCCAGGTTAGATCCAGGTTCCAGGTTAGATCGGTTCACGTCAGGAGATCCCAGAGGAGGCACCGATATGTCAAGTTTGTATGAAACCGTTTTCGTCGCTCCTCGCAATGCTGCTTAACCTTCCAGGCGGTGGGGGGGGGGCATTTTTTGCCCCCCCCCCCTCCTTTAGTTTTTTCGATATATCTCGAGAACCGCTGCGCCGATCGTCACCAAACTTTCAGTACCCTCCCGGGAGCAGCTAGCGCACATGGTGACCAAAAATTTTTCCAAAGGCTATGATAGGTTGGCCGCTAATGACGTCAGAGTGACGTCATTTTTGCCATTTTCGACCCAAAAAAGGTTTCGCGGGAAGAGCTGTCAGGCCTACAGCTTTAGAGATAGAGAAAAATGTTTGAGACATAAAAGGTGTGGAATTTAATGTGCTACAAAACTGCTATTTCGCTTTTTCGATTTTTTTTATTTTGACCCCCAAAAATCAAAAAATATATTTTTTGAATATAATTGCCTAAAATCCAAGAAGTTTTTTGAATTTCGAAAAAAACCGGAATCTATGTGATAGCCCCTACCGCCTTCTATCTACATACCAAATTTGAGATCGATACCTCTTTTTTGGCCAAGTTGTAGCGAAAAAACTGTTCAAAATTGATGACGTCAAATTTTCAAACTCAATTTTTATCAATGCTAGACCTCGTGGCGCAAAACAAAGACCACCATTAGACTCCCCGTGACGAGCTGCATCGAATTGATACCCATTTTATGCAAAAATATCAACTTTGAAATTTGACCTTTTTTGACCTGACCTTGACCTGACCTCCACCAGAAAGTGACCTTAACCGTACCTGATGGTCTTATAACCAACACCATTGAGTTGGAAATGAAAAACTGGCCATAAAACATGCATCGCATAACCTTAGTAAAGTTGGGCTCATGTGGTGGGCCCCTTGGTGACCTTTGGTGACCTGACCTGTGACCTGACCTGGTATGACCAGTGACTTCTAATAGCAATATATGTACTAGACAACTGACGCCTTATCGCTGATTTTCGACAAAATGCGTTTTACTCGGTGTTATAGCGCTTTCCCTAGAAGCCCTGTGAACGGTGAAACATTTTATCTTTGACCTTACCTGTGACGTCATCGGTGACCCCGAGGTCAATGAAATTTGGTTTCCCACAACAAATTTGACAGGGCTATCGAACGCCGTTTGAATTTTCCGGATCCGTCCAGTAGTTTCGGAGATACGGGGGGCAAAAAATTGCCCCCCCCCCATCGCGCGGAAGGTGGCTGGTAGGCCCACCGCCTGCCGGGTTAATGCTGCACCTGGTCAGTGCGCAATGCACAGTGGGCTTAGATTTTAAGCCCTGACAGACAGAAGCAACCGAGTCCAGTCTGAGCGCCTTCTCAACAACATCGCTACTATGTAATGCTACTCACCTCAGTCTTATCTCCAGACATCAGAGAATCTTCAAACTTTTCACCAAGTTTGAACTTCATGTCGAGCGTCTTAAGCATAGTGACCGTCTTGATGCGGAACGAATCATCGCCTTCATCGGTCACTTCCACGCAAGGATGCGAGTTGCACATGATTTTCCGAGGAACCCATGGCACGCCTGCAACAGAACAATGTTTTCACATGTTTGAGAAACGTATCACCTGCGCCGATCTGTCATGCTCCATAAAGCGTAATACGAAGGTAGCCCCACTCGTGCCGGCGAGGGGTCCGGTCGCGGGGGTCCGGTCGCAATTCATCGAGGCGGGATGGGCGTTGTTACACCTCCCCTCTATCTCGGCTCCTATTTCACATGGCGACCAGCGATAAGCTGCGCTCGAAAGGGCTTCACATATGTATCATGAAGCATTACTCGATCATTTTTATGCGAGGCAAAATTAAAAGTTTCGGTCTTCAGTGGTCATCAAACGTAGAATTACGCTGTATCTGACGTTCATTGGCGAACTGGCTTACAGCTGCTAAACTAATCGATCACCTACAACGTCGCACAAAACGCATTTGAAAGACCGTTTAGCCCTCGCAGTTATAGGGTGGAGGGGGGGGGGGTAAACGGACCCCCACCCCCACCACCACCATGATCCTGAACCAAATGGCCTTGTTTCTCAAGACTGCAATGCAGGCCAGAACGGCGATTCGGTGTAAGTCAGCGCATATGTGTACCCACACTTTTTTATATTAGAAACGTGTCACCATGTGGTATGGTATAGTCACCGACGGTGGGGGGGGGGGTCGGGAGGGGGAGGGGGGTCACGACCCCCACTCTTGAAAACCGGGGGTGTCAACCCCCTCCACATTTTTCGATGTTGAATATGATTTTTATCTTGTCAGTGAAGTTGGCGTCGACAGCACTTCAACAAATACAAACTCAGATTCAGAATCTCTCCGGGAGTTCCATTATAGCCTATAGGTCAATGATTGCAACCAGGTAATGGCAGCATGACAAGACAATATTTATAGCCAGCGCACCGACCGCGGAGGGCGGATATCCACTCCCCCCCCCCCACACACACACACACTGAAGTTTTTCATGAAAAGCGGAAACACCGCGGCACGTAGCGCCGCGAAATTTTGCATGACTACTCCCCCGTCAACTTTACATATTATGTGCAAGTTTGAACCTCCTACCTTTCAAGGTCAAGTCACCAGGTCACTTCGAATGACCCGACCTGAAATCACTTTTTGCAACTTTGCCCGCAGTAGATGTCAAAGTCCTTTGAAACACGTTGCAGGATGTAATGAGGTCATTAGTAGCTACAAGTTGTATACCTCGTAATTTCGATATCGATGACCTAAGGTCAGGTGAAGTTCTTGACCTCCTATTATACCCATACCTAAGTCAATAGGGGAAAACCCTACTGTCTGATTTTTTCACTAAAACGCGTCGAAATGGCCTAATATACCTTGAATGACTTCATACACGATCAACCTTGACTAATGACTACCCCGAGGCCTGTTTTGCTCTTGAGCAACTGTAAGGTCATGTGGCGTCATCAGGGGTTAGGCTAATAGGCTAAAGGTTTTTTGCTAATAGCTCCTTACAGGAACGAGATAATGCCGCGCTGAAGTTCTCATTGTGTTCAGCTCGTCAAGGCGCATCGAATGATATGCATGATGACCTGGAGGTCACGTGCTCTGAAGTCAACCTTTGACCTTGACCTTTCGAGGTCAACATATAAATACTATATGTTTCGATGCGGATCGACGAGAGAATCACGATGGTGCTACTTTGTTCCTAGCTTAGTTACTTCTAAAGTTATTACGGAGCGAGCGAAGCGAGCGTAGTCTTTCCTTAGATTAACGGAAATTTCTGAGTATGAGCGGCCGGCCGGCCGGCCGGCCGTGCGGACGCTTTGCGAGGCTTATATCTCAGCAACCACTTGACCGATTTACACGCGGTAATTTTTGTAGGGTAGCTTCATTCCTTCTACCAAGTATTGGACTATTCCCGATGCATGTGGGTGACCCCTTATGCACGTGCCACGTGCAAAACGAAGAGGTGTCAGTTTTGTAATTGTTGCAATATCTCGGTAACTACTTGGCCGATATCGCTGAAAGTTGGCATGTTAGTAGGCACCCACTAGGCACTGCATATCCATGTGCCAGAGTTGGGGTGCTGCTGCACGTGCGCACGTGCAGGGGTCGTTTCCAGATCTCGAGAACGGCTCGACCGATTGCGCTCAAATTTGGTACACGGTTAGGGACCGGTTAGTAGGGTGCCGTGCACAAGTCAGTTGGGACCCATTTTGCACGTGCGCACGTGCAGGGTGCCGCTCCCAGATCTCGAGAACGGCTGGGCCGATTGTGCTCAAATTTGGCACATCGCTAGAAACCGGTCAGTAGGGTGCCGTGCACAAGTTAGTTGGAGGATGTTCACGTCGGACGCACGTTACGCCACTTCTAGCCCAACTGGACTGTCAGAGCGTGGACTCCCTCATACGCGAGAGAGATATCATTACCGTCCACAAGCTGACACACTCGCATCTGGCTCCTGTCAGACTGAAACAGCTGCTAACACGGCGCAGTGAGGTGTCAAGCCGCTGTACCCGGGCTACGGAGGCGGGTCACCTGGAGCTGCCCCAGGTGCGCTCTGAGCGGGCCCGGCGGCACTTTTGTTTCCGGGCCGCTATGAGCTGGAACGATGCCTCTGATGCTGTCAGGGAGCCAGTAACTGTCGCCACGTGTCGTGCGAGACTGCGATCAAAGTGAGCTTCTGCACTGTGATGACTGCATTTTAACTCTGTATCAACTTTGTGTATTAATCTGTAGAACGCGTCGCGAGGTACAGTGTTTTATAGATAGGCTGTGATTCTTGAGCGGTGACAATAATATGTAGGTATGTAGAAACCATGTGACCATAATTTGTATGTAGGTACCAATACCATACATGATGCTTCAATGTACATTGACGCAAGCTTTAAAACCCACCATGTGGAGGCTTAAGATCGTAAATAAATAAATAAATAAATAAATAAATAAAGGAACCCCCTCGAAATTTCGCACGTGCAAGACTCACCCCCTCGCTCGCTCTGTTAGTCGCCCCAAAAGGCGCTATACTGGTTCGAGAAAAACTCGAATTTCTAGCGCCGCTATTTGGACTATTTTGACCCCTGTGACGTTATCTCTGACCTGACCTGAAAATGACCTCAGTAAAAATTGTAGACCTTATCCGTATGTACCCCATGCCGTCTAATGCTTGTCGATATCTTGCTTCGTTCTCGAGCTATCAGGGGGCGGATGCCTAAACTGCCCCGAGCGTTCGTCTGAGTTCAGCTCAAGGATACAGATCAATGTTGACACCACCTTTTCCGGTCAGGTCATGACCTTGACCTTACGTCAAATTTTCGAATTGACCTTTGAAGGTCAAAATATTGTTCATTTAACGCGTCTCGACGAGAGAAGCGTGATGCCGGTCAAAGTAAGCTCACACGCAAGGTTTCAGTCATAAGTTATTGCAGAAAAACGTTCGCTTAAAAATAATTGTTTTGGCAGTTTTTGCCCCCTGCAGGCTAAACCGCTGACCGTGTTGGGTCAAATCTGAGAATTACTCAGAAAGTGCGTTAACAGGACTACAGAGTGCGCGTCTCGACGAGAGGAACATTACACTACGGCTGGTATTAATGAGGTGACTCTCTTGATTCAAAAATTATTGCAGAAAAAAAAACATTTTTCGTGAAACGGCTATTTTAGATTTATTGCCATCTGCACTCTGCAGGTTAAACCGTTGGCCTTAGGTCAAATATGAGGATGCACTATGAGAAGAACGTTAGCCCGCGCCCCGCTAGGGGTACTGGATTTCCACGCCCTGCTGGGGGGGTTATAACCCCCCACCCCACCCCACCCCCTCCGTCTAACTCGGCTCCTGGGCCACGTAGCGATACGCGGAAGGCAGCGTTCGAAAGAGCGCCAAAAATAACGAAATTACTTCATTCACTTTTTGGGTCAGGTCAAAGGTCGGGCCACCAGAGGTCATTAAAGGCAAAATTTCGCCGATTTTCAAGTCAAATGTCGACAATTTCCGACGCCAACGCATAACTCGGGAACCAATCGAGCTACAGCGCCGCGGAAAAGCGCATTTGATAGCCCTATCAACGCACTTTCTGAGCAATTCTCTCAGATTTGACCTAGAGTCAGCGGTTTTGCCTTCATGTGGCAAAAACTGCCAAAATAGCCGATTATTTCAGAGACAGTTTTTCTGCAATAACTTTTGATCCAAGCCTTGCACGAGGTTACTCTTACCAACATCGTGTTTCTCTCGTCAAGACGTATCGAATGAACTATAATTTGACCTTGACAAGGTCAACTTGAAAATTTGACCTCAGGTCAAGGTCATGACCTGACCGGAAAGTGTCATGTTGCATATCAGTCGATCCGTATCGTCGAGTTGAACACATCCAAGGCGTTTTCATCGCTCTAGCGTACCTTTATCAAAAGTTATTCGGGAAAAACTGTTAGGTACCATTTGTGACCTGAGATGACCTCAGGGGCATAAGCAGGGGTCACGGATACCATTTTCATGTTCAGTGTGTCTTAGTTACTTTTAATCCAGTGTTTGGGAGTGTTAATAATGGCTTTCGTCCAAAAGCGGCGCCTTTCAATTTTCTCCCATTGACTTATAAGATCGCAAATATACCTGACCTTAGGTCATTGATATCAAAATTCTGATATATATATATATATATATATATATATATATATATATATATATATATATATATATATATATATATATATATATATATATATATATATATATATATATATATATATATATATATATATATATATATATATATATATATATATATATATATTGTACATACCTACTATTGCACTTAGCAATCGCTGAAAGTTTCAAAGCGATCGGACACTCGGTGTAGCTATGGCAGACATTGACACTTTTTATGAGGTCAGGTCACTTCAAGTGGCCTGGTGACCTGACCTTGAACGACCTTAGTCTGAAATTTTTTACAACATATGTAAAATTGATGTATGATAAGGTGTGCCAAAAACGGCGCCGCGTTTTTTAGACATTTGCGAAAAACCACAGTTAAAAGAGCGGATTAAAAGAGCTATCGAATGCGCTTTTCCGCGGCGCTGTAGCTCTATTCATTTCCGAGTGATGCGCCGGTTTATCGAAAATTGTCGAAAATTGGCGACCTCTGATGACCTCTGGTGAGCTGATCTTTGACCTCACCTAAAAAAAGTAACCGGAACAATGTCCTAATTTCAACGCTCTCTCGAACGCCGCCTACGGCGACGGCGTGGCCGTGCCGCTACGTGGCTCAGGAGACTATAGTTAATTAGAATTAGCGGTCCCTCGCCCCCACTCCACCCCCCCCCCCCCGCCGGCCACCCGAGCCCCAGCGGGGCGCGGTTATTTAGGGGGCCCGCGCTTACAGCTCGCCTCACATAGTACCAGATGCAGCCGGTTGTTGCCGGCAGGGCTGCGGAGTCGGAGTCGGAGTCGGTCGGAGTCGACAGTTGTGACCGGAGTCGGAGTCGGAGTCGGTCGGAGTCGACAGTTGTGACCGGAGTCGGAGTCGGAGTCGGAGTCGGAGTCGGAGTCGGAGTCGGTCGGAGTCGACAGTTGTGACCGGAGGGGCATTCCACGATAGATCGTACCAGGCCAGTCACCCTCATCTCTCAGATTTGAATGAAAATTGGTACAAGGGGTAATCATAGGCTCCAAAAACACCTGTCAAAATATCAGACTTCTCAGATCAAAACTTTTTTAGTTACATTGCATAATATTTTCTAAACTTCAGATTGTAAGGGTGAGTTTGATGAGCTATAACTCAAAAACGAGCTAAGCAAGCAACAAACGGTAAACAGCTTTGAACTAACGATGAATCAAAGATTAATACAGTATTTTTAAAATTGGAAAGAAAAGCTTAACATATTGAAAAAAGTCGTGGTATTTTTTTAAATTGTCTATAATGGGCCTTGGGACCAAAATTTTTGCCATTTTTATTTTTTCAAAATAAACCTCAGGTCCTTTAAAATCGACATGCAAAAAAATTAGAAAGGTGTTCTTTCTATAAGTTCCTCATTTAAATGTATACAAAATGAGTTTCCGGGGGGATCGGTACGACCCCAGCTCGCCGTTTCGCCTCTAATGGAGCTAGAACCTTGCGGAAAAAAACGAGCATGTGCGCCGTTACAAGATGCATCGAATAATACCACATTTTAAGGTCTCGGGTTCATTGGTGACCCCTGAGGTCATTTCAAGTGACCCAAATTACGGGTCCGGTTTTTGATAGATAACTTCGCAACAAATGGTCGCAGAGCCGCGATTTTAGCATCTTTGTGTTTGCCTAGCTCCGGCGCGTCGAATGGTATACTGTTTGTTCTGGTGAAGTCAGCTTAAGTCGCTGACCTCGGGTCAGCACACTGCCGTGTATTTGGCTCCGCGCCCCGACCGGGCGGCGAGTTACCTAAGTGTGGAACTACAAGTTGATTCTAGGGCTCTGATTGGTGACTTTGGTCGGGGGATGACGCTTATAGCATGACGTCACTCGCGTACTTGGCCGGACCAACGGCGCGGCGCAGGCGCGCCGAGCCAACCCAGAGGCTCTCAAACTCAATTGTACAGATCCTGCGCATTGAATGGCGAAACTTCGGCGAGTTCGCTTGAGTTTGGAAGCCCCTGCCAGAGAACTGGAGACGGCCGGATTATTTGCTGGACAGTGGGCAGCGCAGATGGCGATTGACGGTGCCAAAAAGATGATAGGGGAAAAGGAGTTGAGACTTGAGCAGTGAATTATAAGCCTGTTGCATAGCTGAGTGGTAAATTGTAAAATACTTAGGGTTTGAAGAGCTGCAGTGTAGTTTAGCCGACTCAGGGGCATTCTGCCGAGTTATGTAAGGCGGAAGGGTCGAAATTCGCAAGTCGTTTGTTTCCATGATTGCCTGATTAAAATGTAAAACGTATCAAATGTTTAGTTGATAATACAGCGAGGTTCGGCATCTGCTCAATCCATTTCTTCTCTGCACTAGTGCATTCGCCACTGTAATTCATTGTAAGAGGCACTGGGCTGCGCCGCCTGTTAATTATTCCGAAACCACCAGTGAATTCATTTGCTGTCGTCACAGTCACTCACAGCAATACGAATCGTTCAGTCGTGCGCTGGGGGTCCGCCAAGTTTAAGTGTGCTGCAGAATGCAGACTGGACCGCCGAGAATATAACACTTCCGTCTCCCTGGGCGAGCGGCGCATGGAGCCGAAGGAAACTGCTTCAGTTTTTTTTTTTGTGGGGAGGATACCCATGTTTGAAAATTATGTTATGGAATGATGTGATAAGGAAAAGGACGGTTTCTTGAATTGAGGGTTGTTGAGAACAGGCAGATTTTCTCATTTGCTACCCGATACAACACGAAAAGACGCAAAATAAGTCTAATAAAAGATAAGGGACTTCGTGAATCATGCCTAATTGACCGCGACCAAGTTATTTGCCAATGCAGGTAGGCACTAGGTAGGTAGATACTCATTTGTGAACAGAACGTTCCACCACCCCTCGCCAGAAATTCAATCAGCAGTTGCTTATTAAAACGTTTGAGTGCACCTGACAACCTTTAAAAATGACGTACTCCCTTTCAATGGTTCGTGCGAAGACACAAAGCCAGAATCAGCCAAGCAATATCGGAATCCATTGCGCAGTGTGTCGGATGTGCCCCCAGTTTTCAATCCACATAGCATAGCACACACTGCTAAATGCAGGTACGCTCACCTACACATTAGGTATTCGAAGGACTTAATAGCTCATACACATGGAAGAAACACATGAAATGTGAATTATAGCTGCAGCAGAAGTTTGGCGTCCGATGCCTCTTCGCCAAGTTAAGACCATGCCAATCTCGGCCAGTCTGCCGCCGCGCCGGCACTGGCCGTGATGTGACGTCATCCGGCCGGCTCGGCGCTGGGTAGTTCCACACTTAGGTAACTCGCGACCGGGCGGCCCAGCCGGCAGCCAGCCCCCGGGCTTCACGTGACCGCTCGAGTCCGCGGTAAAGCCAACCAGCGCCGCTACAGAGATGGTTAACAGTCGGGTCAGGCCACGAAGCTGAGTGAATGAGATCATATTGCACATCATTCGATTCGCAATGTCTTTCCGAGTCCATTGGTAGCTTTCCCGTCTCTCTAGCTCAATTTGATCGAGAGTTATTGACGAAAAACTCTTATGACCCTAGTGACGTACGAATGACGTCACGAAAGATCAACAATGCAAAAGTGAGGCGAAAATGACTTCAACTGAACTTTCAGTAACCAGTGATGTCACTAGGCAGCTTTACCACACCATTTGTAGGCTCTTTTCCGAAATCACAATTCGAGACCATTACGGTGACGCAAAATAAGTACATTTATAGATAGAACACCTTCCTAATTTTTTGCATACCTACTACTTAAAAATGATCCAAAAATGTTTTTAAGTAAATAAAAATTCAAAAAAAAAATGGTCCCAAAGGCATAAAAATGCAAATTTAAGGAAACTCGAGGTGTTATATATCAAAAATAGTACATATTTCAAAATTTTGAAAATGCATATTATTCTTTGTTTCAATGCAAGTTTAATGCCGTATAGCATTTGGCATTTGGATTATCCTTCTTAGAGTTACAGCCCGCCAAACTTGGGGCTGCAACGCAAGATCCAAAACATGTTATACACTATAACTCAAAAACCACTCATCTGATAAGCTTGAAATTGTTACAGGAGGATTCAGAGCCCCTGATTACCCCTGAGACCAATTATCGTTAAAATCCGAGAGATGAGGGTGTCAAATTCGAAAAAAGTGGTACGATCTATCGTGGAATGCCCCCGGAGTCGGAGTCGGAGTCGGAGTCGATTTTAGAAACCCGAGCCGGCGTCGGAGTCGGAGTCACCGAAAATCTGTCGACTCCGCAGCCCTGCTAGGTCTGCGGAGTCGGAGTCGGGAGTTGGAGTCGGTCGGAGTCGACAATTCTGCCCGGAGTCGGAGTCGGAGTCGGAGCTGGTTTTTGAAAGCCGAAGTCGGAGTCGGAGTCGGAGTCGCCGAAAATCCATCGACTCCGCATCCCTGGTTGCCGGCACAGCTGATCGTCGAGAGCAAACCCACAGTGCATTTGCAGACCCACAGTCCAAGGCCCTATATAATGTGCCACAGACGCCACAGTCTGTAGGGAGACCGAGTGCATAGGCAGGTCCACAGTGTAGAAACAGACCCGCAGTGTAGGTAAGCAGTCCCATAGTGCATAGGCAGGCCCACACACAGGGTTTAGATGTCATACAGTGATTAGGTAGACCCACATGCTATGTCTTTAGGCAGACCTACCGACAGCCGAGAAGAAGGCGTCCAAGTTCTCGCTGCTCTCATGCCGATACACGCCCGGGATGGTCATACCGGCGGCCTGGCACAACCTCACACAGTACGATCACCAGACTGGAGACACCCAGACACTAAAACACGCGCAACACCCGACGCCTACTACGCCATACCCCTTCCCCTGCCAAACACTCTACGCCGCGGCGCGGCCTTGAGCTCCGGCAGCTGAGCCAGAAGGCCCTGGGCGCTTCTCGATGCGAGCGCCCCTGGCGGCTACATGACCCAACCGCCTGGAGGGGCGCGCCTCGACTGTTCCGGTCGGGCGGAGAGTCGGGGGAGGGCGTAGTGCGTACGGATGATTGAAATGAGGTGCGTGCTTTACATTAACTTTAGCGTGTCGGTAAAGCTGATACACAGTCTAGCGTCTCATAGGCGGCGGAACGGGGGGGGGGCACCGGGGCACCGTGCCCCCTTGAATTCTGCAAGGGGACACCAATAGCAAGGTGCCCCCCTTAAATTTGATGTATTACTACCAGGGGCGGATTCGGGAAAATTCCAAGGGGAGGGTCATGACTCATAAATCGAAGAGGTGCCCCTACCTATACCCAAAATTAAAACCTCAACGGATTTCGGCCGTGGTGCCTTATTTTCAGTTTTTTATCTATTTTTTTTTTTTTGATTAGTCATGTGATGACTGGTGCCCCTGCTAGGCCGCTGGTGCCCCTGGAAAGACTGTGGTACCTTCCTACCCTGCCCCCTGACAAGCCTACGGTGGGCCGTCACATGACTTAGGCGCCCATGGGCCCTGACAGGCCCGTAGTGCCCCTGACAGGCCTGTGGTGTCCTTGCTAGGCCTGTGGTGTCCCTGGGCCAGGGGCCTTGGCAGGTCTGTGGTGTCCTTGGCGAGCCTGTGGTGCCCCTGCTAGAACGCAGGTGCCCTTGACAGGTTTGTGGTGCCCCTGACAATCCTAAAGTGCCAACAACAGGCTTGTGGTGCCCTTGACAGGCCCATGGTGCCCTTGCGAGGCCGGTGGTTCCCCTGCGAAGCCGATAGTGCCCCTGGCAGGTCTGTGGTGCCCCTGGAAGACCTGTAGTGCTTTTGCTAGGCCGATGGTGCTCCTGACAGGCCTGTGGTGCGACTGTCAGGCCCGTGGTGCCCCTGCTAGGCCTGTGGTACCCATGGCGGGCCTTTGGTGTCCCTGTCGGCTGTCAGGCCTGTGGTGCTCCTGGCAGGCATGTGGTGACCCCAGGCCCTAAGTCATATCCCATGTGACCTTCCCCCGGGATTCGCCACTGATTAGTACTGCGATGGCTTCTTGGGAATTTGATACGTGTAGGATAAATGGAATTTATCAAACGACAATAAGGAAGAGACAAACCCATAGGTACTTGAAGATCACCTTAACCCGCGCCCTGCTGGGGGGGGGGGGTGTTTGAACACCCCCCTTGTGGTACACCTTATCATACATCAATTCTACACATGTTGTGAAAATTTCAGACCAAGGTCATTCAAGGTCAGGTCACCAGGTCACTTGAAGTGACCTCACCTCATAAAAAGTTTCAATGTCTGTCAGAGCTACACCGAGTGACCGATCGCTTTGAAACTTTCAGCGATTGCTAAGAGCAATAGCATGTACAAAATGTATATCTCGGAATTTTGATATCGATGACCTAAGGTCAGGTCAATTTTGCGACCTCCCCATTCAGGTCAATGGGTCAGGTCAATGGGAGAAAATTGAAATGCGCCTCTTTTGGACAAAAGACATTATAAACACTCCCAAACACCGAATTACGAGTGGTTTAGACACACTGAACATGAAAATGGTGTCCGTGACCCTTGTTTATGCCCTGAGGTCATCTTAGGTCACGAATGGTGTCTAACAGTTTTTCGCAAATAACTTTTGATTGAGGCATGCTAGAGCGATGAAAACGCCTTAAATGTGTTCAGCTCGACGATACGGATCGACTGATATGCAACATGACCCTTTCCGGTCAGGTCATGACCTTGACCTGAGGTCAAATTTTCAAGTTGACCTTTCAAGGTCAACTTATAGTTCATTCGATGCGTCTTGACGAGAGGAACACAATGCCGGTAAAAGTAAGCTCGTACAAGGCTTGGGTCAAAAGTTATTGCAGAAAACTGTTTCCGAAAAAATCGGCTATTTTTGCAGTTTTTCCCCCTGCAGGCAAAACCGTTGACGTTAGGTCAAATCTGAGAGAATTACTCAGAAAGGGCTTTAATAGGGCTATCGAATGCGCTTTTCAGCGGTGCTGTAGCTCTATTGGTTCTCGAGTTATGCGTTGGCTTCTTGGAAATTTTCGACATTCGACCTGGAAATCGGCGAAATTTTGCCTTCAATGACCTCTGGTGACCTGACCTTTGACCTGACCAAAAATTGACCGAAGTGATTTCCTCATTATTTTTGACGCTCTTTCGAACGCCGCCTTCCGCGTATCGCTACGTGGCCCAGGAGCCGAGTTACAAGGGGGGGGGTGTTCAAACACCCCCCCCCCCAGCAGGGCGTGGAAATCCAGGACCCCCAGCCGGGCGCTGAAGGTGGGAACCCTCCCACCTTCAAAAAAGTTTATGAATTGGCATGGAAGTGATGTTGCTCGGTTCAGAAAGAGCGAAAACGAATATCTACCAAATTTCACCGAAAAATATTCACTGGTTTTCAAGATACCTATTAGACTTTTACTTTTGTTTACTTTTTGGGATCTCCCTGTTTCTAGCGACTTTATTTGGAAGCAATAGTTTGGCAGCTAAAAGTGCAGCACTTGTTGCGCGCAAAGCAGCATATACCACACTGAACTCTACATATCAGGCTTCAGGCCTTCGGCCTGAAGCCAGATACATAACCACTTAACCTAAAAATATTTGATTTACTATTGCCTGTAATCTCTCCTAAGGCATTGCCTTCGGCACTGCACTGCTTTGCATTGAGCTGATTCCGTGTTTTTTACATAATGACGTCACTTTCAGTGACTATGTAATCCCTGGACATTATGAACTCTGGCCCATTCAAGGCACTGGCCATTTTGAACACTGGACACATCGTGCCCTGGACATTATGAACCCTGGCCATTTCGAATACTGGACACATCGTGCCCTGGACATTATGAACCCTGGCCATTTTGAACACTGGACACATCGTGCCCTGGACATTATGAACCCTGGCCTCTTTGAATATACCCTATCTGCAGCCAGTTGGCCACATTTGGACCATGCAATCCCTGGACATTATGAGCTCTGGCCCATTCAAGGCACTGGCCATTTTGACACTGGGCATAGCGTACCCTGGACATTATGAACCCTGGCCAGAATGAATGCTCCCCGCTCCCGACTGGGGCGACGTGCGGCGGCCGGTGCGCGGCCGCTGGGTCCCGCCCCGTCCGCGGCGCGGAGAGCTGCCGCGTCCCTCCCCTGACGACCGGGTCCAGACGCGTCCAGTGTCGGTCCAGCCCCGGCTGCCCCGCGGTGAAGGGGAACAGCGTCCCGCGCCCACTGACCCGGCGGTCCCGCAACCGGACCGGCTAGCTGCCAGGTCCGGGCATCGCTGGGTGACCCGCTAGCCACCGAGAAGTTCCACCGGCTCCTCCGGGTGGAATCTGAAAACAGGGCGCCTGGGGCGATTTGATCAAGGATCTTGAAATTGTCACGTGACAATCGCCTGTTTGATGGACTAGAGAAGAGAACTTCTAAGTAATCACTTGACTAATACGTCCTCTGGCCCGTTTTCAGATTCCACCCTCCTCCGCGCAGGGGTGCCAGATTGTCGTCCTCTGTCATCCTCGTCTTCCGGCTCCTCCCACCCGTGCCGATCTCGCACAGGTGAACCCGGCGATGCCGAATCCGACCAGCCACCGCGGCCGGCCGCGGCCGGGGATCATCGGCGGGCGGGGTGCAGAGTAGCGGCCGTCCCGGTCAAGTTCATCCCAGCGGACGAGGCGGCCGGACACCGCGCTGGCCACCTCTGCTACTTCCAGGCCCTCCTCTCGTGTCAGCTCTGTGAGAGGCACTGCTCAAACGTAGACGCTTTCTGGCGAAACAACAGACATCTCTCGGCATGGGACAGTCCGATGGTCCGACCAGGTCACCAGAAAGTGTCGATATAGGGCCGCGTTATAAGACGGCACACATATTTTCTTCGCTTGGCCGTCCTCTCCGAATATCTCGGGACACGCCTGATGGACCAGCTGACGAACCTGAAGACGGTAGCTTTGGGCGGGAAGACTTCCTTTATTCAGTGTCGCCAGGTCCTGTGACGCATGCCCTACAGAGCCGTTCGCACCACCGAAGTGTGCCTTGAGTTGTTCCGTCACTGGTGCTAGCGACAGCTGACCTCCAGTGTCTCCAGTGTGCTGTTGACGACCGACAGGGCCCGTCCATGACACCTGGCCGCGATGATAGTTTCAAGCTTGGAGTCCGGCAGGCCTCCCAATTCTGCCAGTCTAGAGCACTGTTGGAGAAAGTCCTCCGGCCGGCCTGATCTGTCGTAAGTCGGGAAATCACTCACGGAGACGGACACCACAGTCTCCATATCTCATCCCACCGCTGCCACCATGTAACGTTGAAACGCGCTGTGCGCTCCGTGCACGCACTACCGATAGGGAGGTCCGAACACGACCGTAGCCAGTTACCGACTGTGTTTTCGTCTGACCTGAACCGCCTGCGGCGGAGCAGTGGCGACCCCAGTCACAGCCGCATAGGCACCTCGAGAAGAGCGAACAGGGAAGGCCCACAGTAACACACGTGTTCACCGGGTTACGTCGGGACTCGCCGGAACTGGAAGAGTGGAACCGGAAGTTTCGCTTTTTCTGTTTGTTTAGATACGTTTACTGCTATAACTTCTTACATGTCAGTAGCAAGTTCGTTCGTAAAGAGGCAACACGTGTCATATCTCATGGAGCGTTAGTCCAATCGAAGATGCTGTGCGGACGGCAGCGTGCCTGCAACAAAAACGTTAGTACCACACCACAAAATACAATCGAATAAAACAAGCTACATATTGTTGGGTGCAACGGCTTTTTTTTGGGGGGGGGGGTATGGTATTCAAAACAGACGGAATCTGTATCCTATGGTTTTTTTCCGGAACTCCCGGTAACAGTCAATCCTAACTGCTTGCACCTGCGAGTGTGGCCGATGTAACTTCGTGAGATGTTCTTCCTATCATATTCGTATGATATGGTTAACACTACGTCATAACAATACCAGTTGGCAGTTGCCAAAATATCAGCCGAAAATATTGGCACCCGTGAATCACCCACCCCGGCTGGTGTGACGCCGCGGGGGACGGGGAGGCGGGGGAGGGGGGGG